TGATCGGGAGCGGGTCAAGATCATGGGTCCAGATGCGGTTATGTCGGCGACATCAGGAGGCTACTGGGTACGAAGTTGCGGAGACGGACGGCGCTTTGCAACTACGGACGTTATCAGGGAGCCTGAAGAGGAAGAAGTGATACTAGAAGAACGAGAAGGGCCAGATCTTTTGATGCTGCGAGCAGATCGGCCAAGGAGGCGCCTGAGGGAAAAGACAGCTCTTTCGACGATGGTCGTGAAAGAGCAAGTCAAGTTTGAAAAATGGCATCAACGTGCTACACAATTGGTGAAGGATGAGCTAGAGATCTTGGACGCTGGAGCAGAAGACCAGGAGATGTGGCTAGGAGTACTACAAGAAGGGCTTCAGCGAAGAAACCACATCGAGACAGCGCTGAGTCGGATGCAGGTAGAAGGTGCAGCAAAATAGCAGAAGAAAAATGGCTGGTTACAAAGACAGTCGGCATGAGCGAGGTAAGGGCCGAGCTGGAGAGCTGGAGAGGAGTGGCCGAGAAGGAGTATACAGCGTTGGTCAAGGAAAGCAAGGCGGTGACACCGATTGCGAAAAAGGAGGTTGAAAGCACTGCGGACCGGCGGAGGTTCTCCCAGGCAAGGCGGTGTGCGCAAGGAAGTCTCCGGATGGGAGGAGGAAAGTTCGGGGAGTCGTCTGTGAAAAATTCCAAGAAGAAAAGGACGCGGACAAAATATATGCGGGAGGAGATGATGGGCTTCAGACCAGAATGTACAGACAGACATACTGCGTTTCTACACGCGCCGATAGTCATGGAGGTTCCGGGCTACCGAAGAAGTGCCTATGAGATTTTGTGGATTCGAGGTCTACAAGAGGGACGGAGGCTATCTGGTGAACCAAAAAGCCTTTGCAGAGACCTGGTGGCCAAGTGGGGTCGCGAGGGCTCGGAGTCGTTGAACTATAAGCTCCCGGACGAGAGTGACGAGGACTGTAGTCCGGAAGAAATCAAGGAAGCTCAATCGATCACGGGCGCATTGCTGTCTCCAGGACCCGACCGGATATTGTTGTGGCAGTCGCGAGGATGTGTTGAAGCGCGTCAAGGGCACCACGGAGCGGGGCCTCAACTATGGTCCGGTGGAGGGCTGGGCATCACGTGGCGGGTTAGGTTTGAAGAGGCAGACCAACATGGTGGAGGTGGTCGCGGACATTTCTTTTGCATCCGGAGAGTGCGCAGGGCATTGTGGGCTTTGTGGGTGGAGCTCCGATATGCTGGGAGTCAGTTCGCCAACCTTTTGTGGCGCAGAGTACGGCGGAAGGAGAGTTGATAGGCTACTGCGAAGGCTTGACGGTTGGAAGAGCCTTGGGCGAGAAGGTCCGTCAGAAGAGAACGTGCCCCCAGCATGGCGGCGGTCAGCCGGCCCCCGTTAAAGGGAGGAGAATGGGTTCTGGAGCACATGCCGGGGCGCAGTTGGTGGCAGATGGTCTCACCAAGCTGTTGCTAGGGCAGGCTTTTGGGAACTTAGTTGGTTGAGTTAGGAATGCGTAAGGCCATTGGGCTGAAAGAGCCAATGGGCTGCGCCAGGCGAGAGTAGGAGGGCCGGGCCGGGAAGATGCCGGGTCAGGAAACCTGAGAAGATTGGGCCACAGACAAGAGATCCAGGGAGAATGAACTGGATCCACCCCGGAAAGATGGTCAGTTAGGTTCTGCAGCTTTGGTAGGTACCGCTGCCCGGAGGGCTGGTCGCAGCTGCCTGAAAACGCAGGTGGAGGCTGTGAGTCATGCTGATGGCTGTGGGTGCTGCAATGGCGGTGAAGTGGACTGCCGGAGGGGCGGTCGGTAGCATGAGAAGGATGAAGGTGATCGAGATTTCGGGCACAGAGATCTATGGCAAGCGCGCCTTGTCTAGAGGTGCACAGAGCAGCGATGACGAGGACTACCTGGCTTGGCGAAGGACAAGCACGTGGAAGGAGTGAAGGAAGAGGAGAAGCAGGAGGGATTTGGAGCGGCTGACGCGGCGGCTTCGGAGAGTTCCTTTGTCGGGAGGAAGAAGGTGCGCAATACCGCGTGGAACCAGTTCCAACGTGAGCACAGCAAGAAAGGCTGGTCAATGACGCGGATGCGGCAGGAGTACTATAACCAGGAGAAGAACGAGAAGAAGGGGGTTTGAGCTTGGATTTGAGCCGGTGTATTAACCCGGCCGTAGCACGGCCGGGGGGAGCCCGATGCGTTTCGGAAGCCCCTTTTTACGAATCAAGCGTGGGGAAAAACAACCTGTGCTATCAAGCCTGTAAGCCCACAAGAGCACGCAAAAAATGTGTGTGGCATTCACCATGCTGCATCACTTGTAAAGCTGGGCTTAACTATGTGTGATGGAGCGCAGGAAAAACAAACACAGGCCTGCAGAAGCGTGAAAACTTTCGCAGGGCTCCTTAAAAGATACATGTTGCCCGTTTGAAACATGGCTTTTTCCACCAAAATAAAGGGACACCACCATTTACAGGGCAATGTTCAGGTGTATAATGTAAGGATCCCTGTTTCGCGCAGCTTGCAACCGATAGCGATGTTTCACCTGGGCGTTGTAGGAAGTATAGTCGTTACTTTGAGTGTAGACCCAGCCGCAGACACGATTTTACCATGAGGGCTGCTTCCAAAAATGAAGATGGCTGGCTTCTGTTCACCCCTTGAACTAGATACAAGGAGAGGCCTTACTTGGTTGCCTTTTAGGGGTTTATCGCGCGATGACCTGGGTTGGCCAAACAAGCTGGTTGGTGCATTCGGCCAGGAGTCTCCCAGATGGCTGAAAAGGTCCGGGCCATCATGCCGCCCGCCTGCTGCAACACTGATTTGCCTACGTTGTCAGCTGACGTTCTAGCATTTTTTGACACACCAGACACGTCCCATCACACAGGCGAGAAGGTGAGAATGGAAGATGCGGACCCACCGCTTTTTTCCTTGCTGACTATGATGTGAGTTGGTTAGCTCTTGATGAGACAATTGTAGCGCTCCGAAAACCAGATCCACCCGCGCAATCCTACACACAATGTTTGCTGGGCATGTCTCTAAGTGGAAAGAACGCATCCCAGTGTCACGCCTCAACGCGTGGGCCTTTGGCTTCACCAGAGGACTTGAGTTCCATGCTGTTTGCTCAAACCCGAGGCGCCGCTTTGCGTGCACGGGGCAAGGCTGGAGTCTTGTCCATTCTGGGGCCGCAATTTAGTGACAGCAACGGAGGTCTGCGTGCAATACACATCGTGGACGTTTGAGGAAAAAACCGGCAACTCGTGGCGCTCATGTGAGTGCAATTAAGCCAAGAGGCAAAGTGGAGTGTGCCAAGAAACATGAGATGCATTGAACAGGATGGGCGGACAACAACTTGGCAACAGAGACCAAGAAAGCAAAGCTCATCGCTGAATGCTCTTGAACAAGCAAATCATCACTGCATGCTCCCGTGGAACGTGCTTGACGTTGAATGATTCAGTCCGTGGACTCTTTTTGTCGCCAATCAGAATGCTTTGCTGGATTGACGGCTCAGCTTGAAACGCAGCGCTAACTCCGAGCCTTTGGCGGAAATGCGGCAAAACAGACTGATCGAACTTGCAAGGCGCTTCCAATCAGGCAAGTGGCACGTGCATTCAAGCTTAGCAGGCCACGGAATAGATTGAGGCGTCCAGGAAGGCCAAGGGCGCAATTGCTTCAACAAAAAGCATGATTCAAGCATTCTAAAGCTCTGAGACGTTTAGAGTTTTACGATGACAATGGAGAACATAATTCATTTTAGTGCAGCAAGTCACCTAAGTCTCAAATACATTGGGATTCTTGCGTCACCGACCGTGCTTTGCCACTCTTGATGATACACTTGCAACACTGCTCCAAAATTCAGCATAAGCTGGCGGAGTAAGCAAAGCCTCCACATTGCCGCAAAAGCAAAACCGTGCATTGCGTAAGGTTTTCCCACCGGCGGCTACCAAGCTAAAGCTTGTTTGCCTTGTTTGCTGGCTTCGTCGCGTGCGAGCAACATCTGTGTTGTTTGAACTGAGCTGCCATGCTGGCCGCAATCTTTGCTACGGAAGCTGACAAATCCTCGCGCAGAAAGGAATGCTGATAGGCGCACATGTACTGCACCTTGTGCCTACCCAGCTTTGCCATCCGTGCAGCAAAGGATGCTGTGACACTCGGGTCTGCCTGTTGTGACTCAAGTAGCCCAGCAATTTGGTGCACGCAAGGGTTAGATATAACAATGCCGGATCATGCACACAAATTGTTTACCCTGATGTGCTTTCCATTTTCCGTGCCTCTTGCCTCCGGCGTATGGCTCGCTCTCACGCCAGGTTTTTGCGCACAGACTTGCTGATCAGGCAGATGTCGGCTTTTGACCACACTTGCTGGCCACCAAGCTGATGTTTGCTTGTTCGGCACACGCAGAGGCTACCTGTTTCTTGCCTTTGTGGCGCCAGACCAACAAGGCGCAAAGTGCTGGCTGCTGCCGCCAGTGCCTGAGCTGCACCAGGGAAGCAGCGAAGCGCAGGTTCCTTGCTCGCTGCGAGTGCGCGAGTTTTGTTTTCTCTGTGTTGATTGAACTGAGCTGCCATGCTGGCCGCAATCTTTGCCACAGAAGCTGACTAATCCTCGCCGTGCAGAAAGGAATGCTGATTGGCGCACGCCATGTGCTGCACCTTGTGCCTACGTGGCTCGCGATCAGCATACAACTGCACCGACACAGTGAAAGCATGCGTTTTGCTGGGCTTGTCTTTTATGCGGCTTGGGGGCAGTTTGCCCAAAGTGCAGCACAGGTTGCTGTGACACTTGGGTTGCCTGTTGTGACTCCAGTAGCGGGGGATTTTGGTGCACGCAAGGGTTTGGATATAACAAGCGGCGACCGAGCAGCTGCAGTGTGTCAGATGAGGTCGTTTTGCAGCACGCGCGAGCCAAAGACCATGTTGTCACTTTTGTCGCGTTGGCAATGCCGGATCATGCGCACAGACTGTTTGCCCTGATCTGCTCTCCATTTTCCGTGCCTCTTGCTTCCAACGTATGGCCTGCTCTCCCGCCAGGTTTGAAGGGTGCTTGCGCACAGACTTGCTGATCAGGCAGATGTCAGCTTTTGCATATTCGGACTTTGTTGACTGGCAGTCAGGCCGTCAGCAAGGCCACTGCTTTGTCCCACAAGTGCCCAGCGGGTGTCCAGCATGCTTGACTGCCGCATTCGGCTTGTTGCTGGAGAGATTTACCAAGCCTGCTGGTTGTGCTTTCTTCACCGCGCAGTATCAAACAATTGCTGCTGGGTCATGGCGGTTTCTCGCTTTGGGCAGGCCACGCTTGCTGGCCACCAAGCTGATGTTGGCTTGCCATGTTTGGCACACGCAGAGGCTACCTGTTTCTTGCCTTTGTGGCGCCAGACCAACAAGGCGCAAAGTGCTGGCTGCTGCCGCCAGTGCCTGAGCTGCACCAGGGAAGCAGCGAAGCGCAGGTTCCTTGCTCGCTGCGAGTGCGCGAGTTTTGTTTTCTCTGTGTTGTTTGAACTGAGCTGCCATGCTGGCCGCAATCTTTGCCACAGAAGCTGACTAATCCTCGCCGTGCAGAAAGGAATGCTGATTGGCGCACGCCATGTCCTGCACCTTGTGCCTACCCTGCCTTGCCTGCCTCGCCGTCAGCATGCAATTTCGCCAACACAGTGAAAGCATGTGTTTTGCTTGGCCTGTCGTTTATGCGGCTTGGGCGCAGGTTGGGCAAAGTGCAGCAAAGGATGCTGTGACACTTGGGTTGCCTGTTGTGACTCCAGTAGCGGGGGATTTTGGTGCACGCAAGGGTCAGATATAACAAGCGGCGACCGAGCAGCTGCAGTGTGCCAGATGAGGTCGGTTGGAAGCACGCGGGAGCCAAAGGCCTCGTGGGCACTTTTATCGCTTTGGCAATGCCGGATCATGCACACAGACTATTTACCCTGATCTGCTTTCCATTTTCCGTGCCTCTTGCCCCAACGTATGGCCCGCTCTCCCGCCAGGTTTGTCGGGTGCTTGCGCACAGACTTGCTGATCAGGCAGATGTCAGCTTTTGCATATTCGGACTTTGTTGACTGGGAGTCAGGCTGTCAGCAAGGTTTTGTCCCACAAGTGCCCAGCGGGTGTCCAGCATGCTGCCGCATTCGGCTTGTTGCTGGAGAGATTTACCAAGCCCGCTGGTTGTGCTTTCTTCACCGCGCAGTATCAAACAATTGCTGCTGGGTCATGGCGGTTTCTCGCTTTGGGCAGGCCACGCTTGGCTGGCCACCAAGCTGATGTTTGCTTGCCATGTTCGGCACACGCAGAGGCTACCTGTTTCTTGCCTTTGTGGCGCCAGACCAACAAGGCGCAAAGTGCTGGCTGCTGCCGCGTCGTAATGTTTGAAACTGCCACCAAACCGCCGCCCTGATGCTCAGGGCCACGGCATGCGCGCTATTCTGACTAAAGGCCCAGAGCAACACGATGAAATCCTTGCAATCGTGTCTGTCAAGGCAGGTGGGACATTGCACCCTAGTATTTTGAGCGTGCAACCGGCAAAAGGAGCGTGCTAGTGTTGCCCAGCGTGGTATCAGGGTACAGCAAGACGTTCATGGCCGACACGCAATGAAGCCGCAACGCATGGCTGTGTGTTGTTTGTGCGTGTGTGTTTTGAGGGTGCCAATGTGGAAAACCACCTTGGTTTTTTGTTTTTTGTTTTAGGAGGGGTATTTCCTCAAATAGTGTTTACACTAAGGTTCTTACGGTAAGAGTTAAGGCCGGGTTAGATTGAGGGGTTCGCGCTCAAAGTGCTGGTCCTGTGCTTAAAAGGTATCTTCGACGCAACAGTCTCGCGCGGTTCGCGCTGGTGCGTGCGCTCTTGGACGTGCCGCGCGGAGGTTCGCGCTATGTTTTTTCAGGAAGCCTCTCGCGATACGCATTTTTTTGGCACTTTTGAGGAAGCCTCAGGCGCAGGGTGGTTTTCACGACGACGCGGAGTGTGTGTTTTGAGGAAGCCTCGTGCCAAACGCGCCTTTTTGAGATCAAAGTGCGTTTTTGATGGCAGGTAAAACCATGGCAGTTGTCGCAACAGCTTCGTGTGAAGCAGACCTTTCTTTAGAACTGCGCTCTCGCTGTGGCAAAGTGCCGATCGATCTGCGCAAAGCGCACTCCCGCAGCTCCGGCTCCAAACTCGCAACTAGGTACAAAAGTAGTACGGGAAGAGCGTTCCTGGAGATTTTGAAGTACAAATGTGGTACGTGAAGTGCCCTCCTTCAGCTCCGACTCGAAACTCGCAACTTCTAGGCGCAAAAATTGTTCGCGGAGTACATTCCCTCAGCTCCGGCTGAAGGCTTAGAAGTTTTAAGTACAAAAGTAGTACGCGCAGAGCACTCCCGCAGCTCCAGCTTGAAATTTTATATTTTTAATTTATATAAATTATGAATTTGAGTAATAAAATAATATTATTACATTATTAATATGTTTTGTTTTATTAAATATTACATATTAAAATTAATATTCAAACCAAATTAAGAATTTTTTTTTGAAAATCGCATTTTTCGGTGCGAAAGTAGTGCACGCAGTGCGCTCCCGCAGCTCCAGCTCGAAAGTGACAAGTCTTACGTACAAGAGTCGCACGCGAAGTGTGCTCCCGAGGTTGGCTGCAAAGTTGCAACTGTTAATTGTCAAAGGAGTCTCCGACGCGTTCCCATGGCACGAGACTCGCAACATTCAAGTCCAAAGTTGTCTGCAAGGTGCATTCCCGCAGCTGTGCTTTTTTACGGAAGTTAGAGGCGAGAACCATATTGCTTCCGCAACTTCCGTAGCATGGTTTTCAGCCAAAAAAAGCAATCGCCGGGGGTCAGTCGGTGATATGATCATCATCATAGTACTGACATAGTGGTTTTCACCTCCAATCGCCCTGCCGTGAATCCTGCGCTGGCCACAGGATTGCCCCCGTCAATCCTGCGCTGGCCACAGGATTGCCCCCGTCAATCTTCTGGGAGCGATACGAGGCAGCTCGCGTCTCTCCCAGAACCACTGCGAGACTGTTTCCCGCAGAGCGCGGAACGTATACGGTTATTTTCGTATTCATTTCGCACTCGCTGGCCGGCTTCCCGTCTTCGAATCTGGGAAGTTGCGTAACGCGAAGGACGAATGGGGAAGATCAAGCTTTTCCCCACGCAGATTCTGAGCGGACCTAGCATACCTAGCGTCCAGGGCGCAGTGGCCGGCCTAGGCGAACCACTGAACCACCGAGTGCCCTCATCCACCAAGGGGTGAGGGGGAAATAAAACGAAAAGATCGAACCACACAGCAGGGAGCTGTACAGATCTCCTGGTGGCATTGGAACATCAAAGACACATCCAAGGTCGCAGCATCACATGCACTGTTCAAGAGGGTGTGAACCCGAAACTCCGAGGTGAGGCGCCGAATTCCTAGGTCGAGAGCCCAAATCCAGAGCATGAAGGTGCCCCATGGCATCATTGCGTCCTCCCAAGGTGGAAAGCAGCCAAATGCATCATCGAGAATCGAGGGAGGCAGGTGGGGAGGGCCCCACATCCAAGCCACATGGATCATGAAATTCGCAAAGGGCTGCATCCACTTCAAAGGAGCAAAGACAAGGCCAAGTAGTCGCAGCTAGCAGCGCAGGCAGGAACTCACCCCACGAAGGGGACTTAGCCTGCACACATAAGCGATAGGACACACTGTGTAGCCACTGCCAAGGTGCACTAGCAGGGAAATGTGTGCAAGCTGAGTACAAAGCATTCAGGCGGGAACTCACCTCACACAGAGGAATTAGCCCACACAGAACAAGCGTTCCATATGTAAGACGGGAGCAATCTCGGCATCAGGGTCGCGGTGCCTAGACACGGCGTTGGACCTGAGTTCTCTGTTTACTCCGTGACTTAATGTAAGGCATGTAATTGGCACGTATGGTTGCGGGTGGCAGGGTCAGATCTTCCTGCTCGACAGTGGGAGAGATCCGCGGTTGCCGCAGGATGAAGCAAGTGTGGGCCCTACCAGACTGCTTCGTGAAATAAGCGTCCAGGAGCTCTCTGACCTTGTTCTCACAGGGGAAGATGGGCCGACCGTTGAATCCTCCTGCCTGTACCGCAACACCGAACAGCGGTGCCAATCGCATTGGTTGCCCTATGCCAAGGCATGACTTCTTGCCCTGTGATGGTGTGCAAGGATCGCATGAAGTTATTGAAGGACCAAGATTCTGAACCCAAGGTCTTCTCCTCGTAGTGAAGGACCCGGCGCACGCCTGGGCTGTGGTATACTCCATGCACCGTTGGATGCGGCGCAGGGATAGCGAGGCCTGTCTGTTCCTTGAAGGATAGAAGCAGCTCAATCCACGTGACTGTGATCCCCCAGCAAGCCCTTTGACGCCATGTGTCATCAACCGGGAGTTGGAAAAAGGGGTTGGTGTCCAAGAAAACAACATCCATGTCAGATCGTTGGGTTGTGCGCGCCTGTATGGACCTCTGTGTAGAGCCAAGCCTTCGGAGCGCCTGAAGATACATCACAACTGTGTCTGTGGCACCTGAAAGGAGCGCGGGAATGAGAAGCTTTTCATGAGTCCGGAGTGCTCTTGCATCATGTACTAGAGATTGAAGATCTGGTGGAGTCTCTGCAAGGACATTTCTGGCAGCAAGATCGGCAGCCTCATTTCCTGCAACCTTGCGAACATCATCAAGGGAAAAAGGGCCTTGTTGGTGACTCTTGATCTTATCAAGACGCTTTTCGAAGCGCTTGTAGAACATTTCGTTCTTCGGCTTCAAGTAGTACACGAAGAGGAAGCTGTAGGGGTCGCTGGTCGCCTGCTCGTACAGCTGGTACAGCTTGTCCTTCGGGAGCTCGATGACGGCGTGCCCAGCCTCCAGCAGGAGGAACTGCATGTTCACGCGCACGGCTGCGCTGATGACCTCAGCTTCTGGGAGCTCGCCCAGGCGCTGATCTGCGTGCGCCGGCCTTGGATGAAGAGCGTGTCAAGGGCGCCGTGGGGCTTGTGCAGCTGTCAGCGAAGTCGTCGATGACTACAAGCACCTGGTACAGTTTCTTCATCTCTAACTTCTTGGACGCTTCCGTGATCTTGCGCTGCTGCTGGATGATGCGGCGCAAGGCGGACTTGTCCCAGTAGGACTGCGCGCGCTCCGTGTTCACCCCCAGATCCTGGTCGATGTACTGCTTGACGGGATCCAGCCGTCGTCGAATCCTTTCGAAGACGCCTCGACACTGCTCCAGAATCAGGCTGATCAGCGCCACGGTCTTGCCCGACTTGCTGGGCCCGAGGAAGATGCCCGTGCGCGGCACCTGGGGTACGGGGTCCGTGGCTTGCTTCCCTGGTGATGAGATTGCAGTGTACACCTTTGTGGCGCAATCGTGTTAATGATACATACCAGGTTGTGGACCACCACATTTCTGCCTGGAGCTGCAGTACAGATGTTCCTTTGCCCT